AGAGGTTGGGCAAATGTACCCAGGCTACACAGCAAGAAACTGGAAGTAGCAGGATTTCAACCCTCACCAGCTGGCTCACAGGTCACTGCTCTTCTGTCTCAAGTTCACCTTCAGATTCAGGGGCCCCAAAACAGACAGCACCAAGCTCGATGGGAAGACAGGCCTCTGCTAGCTCCAACAGTGGGAATTAAGAAAACCCTCCACCTGGTATGAGAGGCCAGAATGGTGCCCCCCCCATCCCGGTTTGCAATCCTCAGCAACCAGGTGGGGAAGGTGCTGGATCATTTGTCAGGGTCCCTGTACCCCCTATCCCACAGCTGGGCCCCCACCGCCATCCACGGCTTCTCAGACTCCCCCGTGTAATCACCGCTTCCTGTTTGGCACTCAGACCAGGCCTGGGAGTGGGGGAGGGGAAGGGCCATCCCTCTGGCTGGGGGCCTGCTCTGGAGTGAGGGGCCGGAAGTGAAGGCTGCCCAGCCTCCCAGAATCTTGGAAGGCTGGGAGCCAAGGAAAGTAGAAGGGGGCAGTCAATAAAGCTAATGCTCCCAGGACATTTTGTCGGACAGAGATCTGAAGAGTCCAGGTGGTCACCAGCCTAGGCCTTACTCTGGTTGGTGTGGAAGCCAGCAGGGGTGATGGGGACAAGGGAGTGCCCAGCTTGGTCACCTTGCCCCCAAGACACAAAATCACAGGGCTGCACGAAGCTGGGCTGGAGCCCAAAGCCACAACCTCATGGTCCTGGCCAGACTTGGTGGTGACAGCATCACCACAGGCCCGCCCTATGCAGCCCCCTGGCGCCTCCCAGTCCACAACCCATGCCTTGGATAGGACAGGTCCCTGCCCACCTCATCAACTGCTCCCTGCCACACAGGAGCAGTCCCTGGCCCAGCTGCATTAGCTTCTATGCTCACTTCCCTACATAGAATGGCTCTACGCGCCCCAGAAGCTCTAGGTTTGTCAAGACAGACAGAAAGGGAGGGTCCGAGAGCTGGTGCTCTGAAGAGTAGGCTGAGGCGTGGATCTGGGCTCCTAATGGCTTTCTAGGGATGGAAGGTGGGGGGAGGGGTACAAAGGCAGGGTCTGGTCACCTGTGCAGAGCCAGGCATGGTTCAGGCTAAAGATGTACTCAAGGGATATGAGTCTTTAGTCCCTCATTTAGCCCCATCCAAGATTCCAAGTGTTTCCAGCCCTGTGTTCACCATACGACCCAGTACAAGTCCCTCAAGCCATACATATCTGTTCAATAGCCCTTTTTACAACCTTCCTCCAGCCTGTCCCCAACAACCCTTAAAGTCACCCCTTTGCAGGTGACAGGGACCTGTGAATTGGTAGCCCTGGGCAAGCTCCGTCCTCACTAGCTGCTTGTTATAACCCTCAAGACTACAAGAGAATTAATTAAATGGGAGCTGGGGTGGCATCTATGGTAAGATTGGGCACCTGTCAAATGGTAGTCAAGAAGGGATGATGTGGCCCATTGCCTATCATCCCAACAACCAGGAGGCTGAGACAGGAAAATCATGAGTTCAAGTCTAGCCTGGGCTATAGGGTGAGACTTGGCCTCGGCCTCAAAAAATTATTTTAATAACTATGTAACTTTGGAGGGTGGGTAAGAAGAACCCAGAGAGGTAAGATAAAGTACCTAAGTTCACATAGCACGAGGGCACAGATGAGGACTGATGCCCAGGACCGAGAGCCAGCCCGGCCCAGGATATTTTCTGGCTATGTGGCTCTGAGCAAGTCACCAAGTATATCTGTGGCTCAGAGGGATTCTGTGTATTTCTTAGACTGTCCTGAGCACACCCTACTCTAAACCACATAGAGCGCTGGAGACAGGGCATCGGAGCTGTCTAGTATTCAGCCTGGAACTGTGGCACCTACCCCAAGTCCTCATCAGCCAGGCTCCCAGCTGGCCCAGAGGGCTCTAAGTAGCAGCCCTCTCCCCAGGCACCTGAATGAAGCAGGTGGTCCTGCCTGCTCACCCCATCCTCAGCTGTCCAGCTTTCGGAGGCTGATTCAGCTCCCACAGAGCAGCAGGCTTCAGATCCAACCCAGTAACCCTGAAAACCAGACCATTTCTATAGGTGATGATGGGTGACAGAGTGGAGTTTCTATAGGTGATGATATGTGGCATATAGGTGGGTTTCTATAGGTGGTGATGGGTGACAGAATGGAGGGTTAGACAGGCTGCCACTGTGAGCCCTGTCAGCTTTGCTCAGAAGGCCTCTTCCTCCAGGAAGCCTCCAACGTTCCCTCCATGAACAGCCCATCTCCAGTGAAAAGCAGTGTACTCCAGCTTGTTGAGAGACCTGAGTCTGACACTGTCTAATGAATGGAGAATGTCCTGAGACGGATGAGAGCCTTGCCCAGATCACACAGCAGGTATGTGCCCCTGGCACCCAGCAGCCTGGAAAGACATCAGGACTCTGGATTACAGTGCCTCTGAGTTCCTTTGCTCACTACAGTTCCTGACCTGGAACAGCCCAAGAGTTGCCAGCTTTTCTTTTCTATAGTGAAGGCAACAGCTCACCAGAGTAGCCTGGAAGGGCAAGAGAAAAGGGCCCCTGGATGCTGGGGACACCTAACCTTCGCAAAGACACAACAGCAACTCTGAAAAAGAACAGCTCATAGTGACTCTAGTCTCTAATCCTAGCACTTTGGAGGTAGAAGTAGGAGGGTCGGGAGTTCAAGAGCACCCTTACCTTTGTATAAAGTTTGAGGCCGGCCTGAGCTACATGAGACCCTGGCTCAAAAAAAAAAAAAAAAGAATCCCTCTACGCTGGAAGCTTTTGCTGTTTGTTCTTTTTTTGTTTTTTGTTTTTCAAGGCAGGATTTCTCTGTATTGTTTTCGAGCCTGTCCTGCACTCACTCAGTAGACCAGGCTGGCCTCAAACTCATAGAGATCCGCCTGCCTCTGCCTCACCGTGTGCCACCAACACCCAGCTTGTTTGTTCTGTCTTATATAGTGGAAACTGAGGCACAACACAAATCAGTGAAAATCCACCCTCGAGACATCTATGGTCCCTCCCAGACCCGGACTTTAAAACAACATTCTCCAAAGGCTGTAATTTCTGGTGTCCCCATACTCCCTGACATCCTGAGAGTCACTTAAGCAGTACAGCTGAGGTGGCCTGAGGTCCTCAAAGCCCTAGACATCCAGACTCTCAGGATTGAAGCCCAGGTGAGGACACACCCCCAACTGGCCAGCCACAACTTAGGGAAACCAGCTTTCTCCTCCCTAGAGTCCCATCCCCCATGTCCCATGCCCTCCCAGACTGGCAAGAAGAGCCAGTGCCACCCTGTTCCTCCCTTACTGAGCCAGCCACTGCCAGTCCCTTGCTATCCTCAGAGCCCCACCAGAGGCCATTCCTGGAACCCCCAGCTTGGTTTCTTCTGGCCTAACCTCAGTCCATCCCACTGACAGCACGCTGTCTCCTCTGGTGTGGCATCCCCACAAACCAGCACCACCCTTTAACCCTTAGCTTCCCAGGTCAGGTAACAGTGCAGACCCCTTTCTCAATGCCTGGGAGGACAACATGCCTACTGAAAGGGCATCTCTGAGTCACACCCCTACCACAGTCCCTGGCGTCACGCAGCCAGGCCCACCACCGAGGGGTGTCAGTCTGCACTGATCTGAAGCACTCCAAGCCCACTTTGCCCTCACATCTGCCTGGCTGAGCCCCTGCTGTGTGCAGGTCCTCCTTTTTCTCCTGGCAGAGCATCGCCTTTTCCCTTCTAGGGACAGTTGCTTCCCTGGAGCCATTTGTCCTGAGCCCTTTGCAACTCACACCAAAATGCCCTTAAAGGTGCCTCTACGTCCACTCTTCCTCTGGCAAGGACACCCTGAACCCCTCTTTGCAGAGGGACAATCTGAGGCTCTCAGCCACTGGACTCCGAGACCAGGTCTTTGATGTCAAGGGTAATTTTCTATAACACTTCTGAGAAGCAGTTCCACAGGCGGAGTGGGCAACGCCTCCATTCTCTCAGGTACCTCTCCCCACATCCCTATCAAGGGGGGGAGAGACAAGGCATGGACCACCGGGGGCTGTCCTGGGCTCTCCCTCCCCAAAGCTGACAGCTTGAGGAGCTTGGGGTCCACAGAGCAACCCAGGGCCCTTCCTGGTTCCCTACAGCCTGGACACTGTGCTTAGGAGAGAAGGGGCGTGCCTGCCAGTCTGGGCTCTGGTGGTCATCTGAAAGGGTGGGGACAGCCATTGCTCCTGGAGTCAACCATGGGGGTAGAACCTAGAAGTCCCCAGCTCACTCAACCTATAGCTAGACACCTGTCAACTCAGAACTCACTTGGGACCTGGGTTCCTCAGAGCAGGAATGTGACTCATCCACCTGCAGGACCCCCTTCCTCCAGCTCCCCTAATGAAGCCAGGACCAAGTTCAACCCCACAGAGGGACAGTCAGGGGTCACCTGGTAGACACCCATGTCTCCTGGGGTGGGGGCTTCTTCAGGCCCACCATCATCACACACTTGTACACACAAGTGTGTGCTTTCACACACTCCCATGGGTCAAAGCACACACCCCCTCACCCGGCAGGCACACAGCCATGGCCATGGTGGCACACGGTGTGCACAATGGGTCACCCTCGTGTGAAGCGGGGTGCTGATGGCATCCACCCATATGGACAGAGCCTTCCCATGCCCACACCCACAGGTGCCCATGCACCCTTCTCAGAAGCGGACACACACACACGAACACACACACACACACACACACACAGGGTCACCCTCATTCACCTCCGTGGGTCACCTTCATCGACTCACCTTCCTTCCCCTCCCCCTCGGAAGCCCCCAAGGCCCTGCAGGCAGCTTGGGATGGGTTGGGGGTGGGGAGGAGGCGAACCGGCATATACAGGACGCACACGCTTCCCGGCGGGGAACGGACCCCCAGAGACCGGGACACACCCAGCGTGGCACGCGTGGTGAGGGGACAAGCAGAGACACGCGGGGAACATACGGGAGACCCTCCTGGAGCCCATCCATCACTTACCCCTGCGGCGCGGCCGGCCAGCAGCAGCAGCAGCAGCGGTGGCAGCAGCAGCCCGCGGGCCCCGGGCGCGTGGGTGGTGGTGTCCACGCGCGGCCCGTGTGCGGCCCCGCGACGCGGCGGCCCCGGCTTCATGGCGGCCTTTGTTCGCGGCGCGGGCTGCGCGGGACCTGCGCTCGGCTCCTCGGCCGCCGGCTCCGCCTCGCTCGCTCGCTCGCTCGCGGCTCCGCGCCCACAGCGGCCGCGCCCGCAGGAAGCGTCGCCGCCGCCGCCGCCGCCGCCGCCGCCACCGCCGCCCCCCGCGCGGGCGGGGCGAGCAGGAGGGCGGGGCCGCGGCGACAGCGGCACGCGACACCGCCCCCGGCCTCAGTTTCCCCGGGCACGGTGGGGCCGACAGGCGTTGACATCTGCTTGTCCCAACTGTGGATCTGCGGAGCACGCCGTGGGCAGAGTCGCAGGAGAACCTGTTCCTCCAGGCAGCACCCGGGGTTCCTCTGCCTCCCGCAGGGCGGTGTCAGAGGACGGCCCGACCCCGATCTGGGGTCCCCCTCGTCTTCCTGAGCTTCTCCTTTGCCTGTCTCTGTCTGAGAGACACTGACTACAGCCTTGGCACCCCGAGTCCAGGGAGCAGGGACTTGGGTCAATTACAGTCAGGCTTGGGGAGCATCAGCACGCGTCTGGCTCCACTGAAGTCACCGGTGTTGGCCATTCACAGGGAATCAGTTGCACCAAGGGACCTCCGAGGAATCAGCAAGGCATTGGTTAGGTGGCACATGGCCCGGCCAGGACCCCTTGAGGTCCATGCAGTCAGCATTATGCCTTTGATGGACATGGGTTCTTGTCTCGCACAGGCCCTTGGAAAGAAATCCTGAGCATGAAGCTCAGCACCATATAAGGCAGAGTGTGTGATGGGTTCCCTAGAGGGGGTGAGAAGCTGGGGCGTCACAGGTATGCAAGGCCTGCCTGGCTGCCTTCAGCAGACATCCTGAGAGGAGGGAGGGGGCCATTCACTCCGTGGTTTACAGATCGCTAGGAAAGAGCCAAACCTGGGTAATGAATGTCAGTAACCCCAGCACTCAGCACTTAGGCTGAGGCAGAGGGATCTCAAGTTCAAGGCCAGCCTGAGCTACATACAAAGTTCCCGTCTTTATGAAAATAAAGGGAAGCGGAAGCTGGACAGATAGGTCATCAGTTAAGAGGACATATTACTCAAGGATATAAATTCAGTTCCCAGCACCCACATGGTACAGGTTGCAACTGCTTGCAACTCTAGCTTTAAGGGATCTAAAACCTCTAGCCTCCAAGGATGCCTGTGCCCGCATGCACACGTGCGGACGTGCACACACAGACACACACGCACAAATAACAAAAATAAATCTTTTTAAAATTAATAAAAATAAATAGCCAAGAGATAGTGTTGCATGCATGCCTTTAATCCCAGTACTCAGGAGGCAGAGGCTGGCAGATCTCTGTGAGTTCAAGTCCAGCTTGGTCAACACATCAAGTTCCAGGACAGGTTCTACAGCTACAGAGAAACCCTGTTGAGAGAGAGAGAGAAGCAGGACAGATAGTAGTGGTGCACACCTTCAATCCCAGCACTTAGGAGTCAGGGGCAGGATCTCAGTGAGTTTGAGGCCAGCCAGGTCTACAGGGAGAATTCCAGGACAGCCAGGGCTACACTACACAGAGAAACCCTGTCTAAAAATATCAATAATAATAATAAATAATTACACCTTTTTTTTAGAAGATGGGGTTTTATGTAGCCCAGGCTGACCTTGAACTTGCTATGTAGCTGAGGATGGCCTTGAATATCTGATCCCCCTGCCTCCATAACATTCTATTTATGTGGAGCTAAGGATCAAACCCAGGGCTACATCCCCAGCCTCTCAACAAGATTCTGTTAAATCAATCCCATTCCTAAGTATTTTGGCATTTGGAGGTGTGACGCTTTGGAGAGTAGGACAGGAAAAGATTGGCATGCTGAGGAATCAAGCAATCGGGAGCCGGCTTTATTACTAGCACAGCTAGGAGCTGAGGAACTCTGGGTCCAGGTTAAGAAGTGCTTGGGTTCAAATCCTGGTTCTGACTATCATGAGCTGTGGTACTTGCCTGTGCAAATACACCTCTCCGAGCCTGTTTACAATGTACCAGGGAAATTATGATCGTATGGGTTTCACTTACTCATTCAGAAAACAGAGTTTAACACCTAGTGGGCACTGGGTCAGGGGACAGGCTGGGAAGGTTTTATGGGCTCTTCTCTTTCCTGTACTGGGAATTCAACTGATGTGGATGGGACACAGATATGGGTATGACACCACTGTCCAGAGTGGCTGAGCAGACCAAGGGGACAAGGGGACAAACTGGTTCTGAGGTGCTCCTAAAGGGCCAGCAGGGATCAAGGAGACCCAAGGACTGGTATGTCAACTTGGTGCAAAGACGACTTTGGAACAGCTGGATCTGACTAATGGATAAAGTACTGAGCTTTCCATGCTGGGAGGCAAGCAAGGCCCAGAGAGTTGCTCATAGTGGCCTACCAGTTGCCAGGGAGCATGGTCTAGCCTTGCCCTTTTCAGTCCACATAACCAACCCCCTTCCCTAAGAACCTAGCAGAAAATCTTGTGGGGAATCTTTGGCCAAGGGCTCCACCTGCTGTTTCTCAAAAGCATCCTCACAGACAGAGCTGAGAGGGTGCCCTCCAGAATAGGAGTCTCCCTGGGAATTCAGTCTCTGGGCACATGTTGCCTCACAGGTCACCCAATACCTTCATGTGTGTCCTTACCACACTCCAGAATACCAGTGTCCCCCTCCCTGTGCTAGCCCCATCCAAAGAGACACCACAGAGAGCCCTTCTCCAGCTGCCCCCCTAGCGTGTACAGGTCACCTGGCACACTTCCTGACTCCCACTGGTAAGCAGTTCTGACCACACCCGCCCAGGCTTCAGTAGTCCTTCTGTCTTTTCCAGAACTAGGAAAAGCCAGATCGTCAATGGACAACAACTGCAGGGATTCACCCAAGCCGCCTTCACCCCACACTTCTCTATGACATGATGCCATCACCCCTATATTTCAGAGCTAGAGAAGAACTGGTCTCCTGGGAAGAAAGAGCTGCCTCCATCGGCTTAGCCCATAGCAGGTGTGGGGACATTTTCTTGATTAATGATTGGATTGATGTGGAAGAGCTCTACCCACTGTGAGTGATGTGAGCCCTGGGCAGGCAGGTGGTCCTGGAGTGTACAAGAGAGCAGGCTGGGACTGAGTGGTGGTGACGCACACCTTTAGTCCCAGCACTCGGGAGGCAGAGACAAGCAGATCTCTGTGTGTTTGAGGTCAGCCTGGTCTACCTACAGAGTGAGTTCCAGGACAGCCAGGACTACACAGAGAAACCCAGTTTTGAAAAATCAAAAGGAGAAGGGGGAAGGGAGGGAGGGAGGGAGGGAGGGAGAGAGGGAGGGAGGGAAGAAGGGAGGGAGGGAGGGGAGGGAGATGGTTCAGTGTTAAGATCATTGACTGGCTGAGCATGGTGACGCACACCTTTGGTTCCAGCACTCGGGAGGCAGAGGCAAACAGATCTCTGTGAGTTTGAGGCCAGCCTTGTCTACAGAGTTCCAGGACAGCTAGGGCTACACAGAAAAAACACTGTCTTGGAAGGAAGGAAGGAAAGAAGGAAGAAAGAAAGAAAGAAAGGAAAAAGAGAAGGAAGAAAAAAGAAAGCAGGCTGAGCAAGCCATGGGAAACAAGTCAGCAAGCATCCTTTCTCCATGGCCACCGCTTCAGTTCCTGCCTTGAGTTTCTGCCCTGACTTCCCACAGTAGTTGACTGTGATGGAAGAGTTGTAGGGTGAAATAAACCCTTTCCTCCCCAAGGTGCTTTTGGTCATGTTTTATCGCAGCAACAAAAAGCAAAGCAGGACAGCAGTTCAATCTCACTACCACCCTGCCACCCAAGCTGACCAGTGAGAGCCAAGACCTTGGCCTCTGCATTGGGAACTGTTTGATGAGTGAATTACAGCATCACTGAGGGGGCACATTCTAAACCAAGGACATGCTCAGACACAGCCTGGCACCCAGATGACCCAATCTCTCCCACCCTTTCCTCCCCCCTTCCGTGAAACTGTCTCCTAGGTAGGGAAGCCCCCAAAAGGGATTGGAAGAGATGTCATCATTATCCCACTCAGTTCAAGGTTGTACCCCAGACTTGACTCGAGAGCTGTTATCTCTCCACACGCCTCCCCCAGAGATTTGGCAAAGCAGGTGGGGTCCTCAAAACTCAACAGTCCTCAGAAAGCTGAGATTATTGGACATCTCACTGCCAAGCCCCGGCCAGGCATCTGCTCTCTAACTCCTCCCACAGGCTTGGTGCTGTGAGAGCCAAGTGATTGCCCAGGCTGCAGTGAGTGCCTTGCCTGCTGGCTCTGAGGGCCCCTACTTTGAGTAGGAGAATCTGGGGCATAGAGATCAGTAACTTGCTCCTGGTTTCACAGGCAGGAAGTGGACAAGCCAGGATTTGAACTAGGAATCTTGATCCAACTCTTAAAGAAAAAAAAAAGTTGATATTGTTTGATTATGTGCATGTGGGGAGGGTGCTTGAGTGCAGGTGCCCTTGGAAGCCAGAAAAAAGCTTCCGGGCCCTGAAGGTAGAGGTACAGGTAGACAGGAGCCACCAAATATAACTGCTGGGGATATAGGTTCTCTGAAAACACAGCAAGTTCACTTAACTGCTCAACCATCTCTCTAGCCTTAAAAAGAAAAAAAAAAAAAATAGAAATAGAAATAGCCAGGAGGTGGTGGCACACACACCTTTAATCCCGGCACTCAAAGGCAGAGGCAGGCAGATCTCTGAGATGAGATCCAGGCCAGTCTGGTCTACAGTGTAAGCCAGGGCTACACAGAGAAACCATCTTTAAAAACCAATAACCAAATAAAACTTTGAAAAATTGAGATGGTCCCACTATGTTACCCAAGCTGACCTGGAATTCTTTAAGTAGATAGCCCAGGCTGGCCTTGAGCTAACAGATCTGCCTGCCTCTGCCTCTGAGTGCTGGGATTAAAGGCGTGTGTCACCACTGTATGACCTGACTTGGAACCTCTGTGCTCGGAGGTCACTTTGGGACTGAGGGGTGGAAACTCACAGGCTTCTCCTGCATTTTCAGCCCCTCCCTTCTCCCATTCAAACTTCTCTTTTTTTGCCCCAAGAGTTAGGATGGAGGCCAGAGTCAAGATGTGTTCTCTGGGAAAGGCTTGGTGACACAAGGCTGGGGAGTCAGTGACCTTCCAAATACAG